AGTTGAAAAATTAACACTTTTGTCTATTCCTAGAGCTAGGTTGTTTTTCTTGTAATATTATATATCCTTGCCCCACTTACCGTAGGAGCAACAATCCTATTTCTAAACCCGACTTCTTCTACGCACACTACTCCTTAGATCTTATTCGCTAACTATACTACTTCCATTTCTCTAACGCAATTTCTATTGAGCATCCTTTGACTAAAAATATTTCTAGAACAGGGTTCTAACTCGATATCTAGCCTACACTATCACCCTTACTGTTTGTCTCTACAACATATAATCACAAAACTATACTTCACAATCGTTTCTACTTAACTGATCGTCTGACTGGACCATCGTCTTGGCCATGTGGTCCTTCTGGTCCTGCTCATTTCGTTCTTGTACTTCTGATGCCTTCTCCTTTTCCGGTTACTCCTTAGGTTCGGTCGAGGGCTCCTTGGGTTCGGTCGTAGTGTCAATACCTGCCTCCGTTCTTGAAGTCCCAGTAAAGTTAGGTACCTGTCTAGGAAGCCTAAAGCGTTCGAGCTGTCTAGCCATATTGATTCTATTGCTGAAGCGTCCATTGTTCACCTCAGATTCCATTTGCTGATTCCATCGGACGTGCTGATCGTTCGGTCTCGGCGTCTCTTCCGATTCGCTGCCACTATTCGACATCAAGGATGGCATTGTGGCACTAGCGTCACTACTTGTGTACCCGCTATCCTCTTCTACCGCATTCTGAAAGATGTCGACATTTTGCTGCGCCATCTTACTTTCTCTATTACATTCGATGTTTTCTTTCTTTGTTCGTCGTATTCTTATAGAAAAAATCTGATAAATTTCATTCAATTACTATAAAGTAGCTTATTCATTAATTACTAATAAGCTCACAACTTCCCTGGTAAGTTAAAAATGTGGTAAACGAGCGCTTCAATAACTGTATCGCAACGTTCTCCTCTCATAGAGAGGGAGACGTTGTCCATTTATTAGTAATTGAAAATTAATGACTCTAATAATGAGTCATAAGTCATGTGCTGTGATAGTCAGCAAAAACCAAGTTTATCAGAATATTCTGATAAACTGTAAAAACTATAATAAAACTAAAATAAACAAATAAACCTAAGTACTTGTATTCTGACCACAACAACAAGGAACTTCATCACTTTCACTTTGAAGTCAACACAGCGTATCTATATTGTAAACTAGATGCGCCGGTCTACATGCTCCCCTCGAAGGGGAGTGTTGAGCTTGGACATTATCCACCCCATCGGTGCAGAAACTCCGCCGTGGCCTCTCTACGGCTTAATGTAAGCCGGGCTGCTCTGGAGCCAGTACATTGGCCGCACCATAACATCACTAGGCTTTAACAAAAGTCCGCAAGATGAGAACATCTGTGACCATTCTGTTCGCGATGTTACATTGCTTCTTTACGTCGACGATGTCTGATTTTTTATGTTTGGTCAGGTCACAATAGTATGTTCAACCAATTATTTTAGCTCAATATTTCAAAGGCGTAAAGTTGAAAGTGTCTAAGCCCTGAGTATTTGATAACCACCTCCCGCTTTTGGACTGTTAAACTTAACTGGAAGTCTATTTCAAATAATAGCACAATCATTCCAAAAGTGAAGCTTATACTCATTCCAACGCCAGCCCCATCATCTCAATATGCGGCTTCACATTGGAATGATTGGGTTAGGTGTACCATTTCACGCTTCACATTTGGGACAACTAAAATGTATTGACATTGATTTCATGGATACGCACCGTTGGCCCGCAATTATTTAATTTTGCTCTATCTGCTAAATATCTGCCAGCCCCCATCATCTCAACATGCGGCTTCATATTGGAATGATTGGATTGAGTGTACCATTTCACGCTTCACATTTGAGACAACTAGGACGTGTTGTCATTGATTTTATGGATACATACCGTTGTCGCGTAATTTTTATTTTACTCTATCTGCTAAATATACTTCATACTACAGAGTGAAGATTATAACACAACATCACACAAAAAATAAAATTTATAAGTAGGTCTCTTCATTATGGTAAGCAAAAATATATATAACAAGTTTGATTTTTAGTTGATTTAATTTACAAAGAACGCAGTGTAATAAATACAGTAGTTCGGTCACTTAAAAATGTAGTCAAAACCGAGAAACGCTTAGTAGAGAATGTTAAGTCTGAATAAGTGATATCAGTCAAAAGTACCGTTCTGAATGGCGCACTTGCTGTATTTATTAATCATGTTCCTATATGGGACTCGATTTCTTCTAACTACTGGTCATGTGAAAATATCCGTATCTAAGGTTTTGGTTTCCTAGTTACAAATTTATGATGATATCCGATGAGTCATCATCCTCTCTCACTAAAATCTATATTGCACTATCTGGTCCGGTTATCTGGCCCGGTCCTGAAATTGATCTTTTAGGTCTGGTCCTCTGGTCCGGTCCTACATCCCGTCTACGGTACTTTGTCCTGACACAGTTTCGCAACCTACGTATGTTGAACAGCTAGTTACGAAAATTGAACCCTTGGAGAGAGTAAGTACATCCATGAGTACATCCTTTGATGTTCATCTGTCTCGCACAGTTCTGCAGGACTCTGAGTTTCATAACATCATCGGATCCTTAATATTAGGAAACTATGACTGGGGAACCTCTAGTGAGTTCGGGGAGGATTTGTGTCTTTGTAAGTATCCTGATGCGAGCTATACTGGATAGAAGGACAAACGATCTCATATATGATACTTTGGTCGGATCATTATTATTAGGATACTATGACTGGGGAACCTCTAGTGAGTCCGGGAAGGATTTGTGTCTTTGCACGTATTCTGATGCGAGCTATACTGGATTGAAGAACAAACGATCTCATATATGATACTTTGGTCGGATCCTTGATATTAGGATACTATGACTGGGGAACCTCTAGTGAGTCCGGGAAGGATTTGTGTCTTTGTACGTACTCTGATGCGATCTATATTAGATAGAAGATCAAACGATCTCATATATGATACTTGGGTGTCCTTGCAAATGCTCGATTATACTTGAGAGCGCGCAGTCAGACCCTCGTCGCTCTCAGTACAGCGGAATCCGAATAGATAGGCCTTGTGGAATCCTGCCGTGATGTCAACACCGACTTGAATCTGCTATCTGAGCTTGGTCGTTCACAATAACCTGCCGGGTTCGTGTTGTTAGAACAACCAAATTGCTAAGAAGATGGCGGAAGAGTTGGCTACCAAGCGTAATATCCATATATATGCTAAGTATCCCTTTGTACGAGAGTTGTGAACTAAAAAACGATACGAGTTGACGGTCGCTGATGCTTTGACTAAAGCACTACCGCGAGCTGTATTTGTGACACATCGCAATCAGATGTTGGATCTTCGCTGTTATAAATGCACCCTCGTGTCTACGTATATTTGTAAGTGCGCCTAGCTTATGGGGGAGTCATATGAGCAACAGCAGCTAAATTCTTTCGTTCGTGGGGGTGTCGAAATGTATATTGCCGGACTGGGAAAAGTCCAATTGGCGGACTCAGCCTTAGCTGAATGTGTTGTATAGTATTTTTCCTGAACACAAGCTGTGTTTACGAGTTGGTTTAATGTGCTGATCAGAAGTTCTTGAAATTATGTATACAAGAGTTTTAGTAGGTGTAATGTTGCACACTTTAGACTTGGATATCATATGGTGTAACAAATACAGTTAGGGGTTTGCCGAGAAAATAGAGATGGAACGGCCGTTCAATCCGGCTATACTTTATGCAAATACCCGTATGAATACCCTGTCAAAACGTAAACAACGTTTACATATATAAAGTAGGCAAGTGAGTTCGACACCTGATATGTTCAAGTTACTGTGCGAGCATTGAAATCATCTCAATCCAAAGTATCGCCATCATTGCCAATTGTACACATCCGTTCCAATTCCAAGATCATCTTACCCTTTCATATACGATGATGGATATTTGAACTGCAGCCCATAAATGAAATTTCGACACCTATTATGATCAAGTCTCCCACACCTAACAACGCGAGTAACAATATCATTGTCATTAAGACATCATTGTCAAGTGTGGGCTCATCCGAACTGGCAGATGGAAATCCAAGATCGAAGCCAGGAGCAGAATCGGCATCTGATATTCTATTCGCTGTCAATCTCCGCCATTTAAATGATCCCCGAAGGGCAAACTTTCGAGAACAATAATTGCCCTCGAAAGTCTTTGTACGGTTCGTATTTACGGCATTCGGAGTTGTTTTACTACAATTTTGATTTTACTTGAGAACTGGATTCAGTACTGATTACAATTTCCATTCTTGACCAATCGATGTATTTACTTTTAATGAGTCTGTCGTCTCTAGAAATTAACAAAAATGGTTACAAATTAAATACATTTAAAATTACTCATTGACACAAACTTTCAAATGATTAAAAGTTTCTGACCCCAACGATCAACATTCACACCAAATCTGTCCTACTCACCATGTTGCAAGATAATCTCGTCCCTTTAGGAACGCGTAGCCACTAACATTTGGGTGAAAATAGTATATAACTGGACGCACATATGGTTCTGTGTAGTAAAATTAGGAAATCGTGCGATAGTAAATCAACCAATGCAAGTGCAAATGTCATTCCAATACTTTAGAAAATAAGACCGTCTAGTAAACTGGCATCATCCAAAAGGCGTCAGCTCCGTTGACAGTACCCGATTCTCGTCACAGAAAAAAAAAGGTACGGTCGCGCCTACCAGTATAGAGGCCAGAGTCCTCCTGATCATCATCGACTTTATAGTACAATAACAGATTCCTTCACCTGCATGAAGTTGAGATAAGTATCGGTTGCCATTTTCGCGTCTATATCGGTCCTGAGATGCATAAACTGGTGTGGTGTGGAAGGGCCTTCGTAAATGCTAGGCGCCGATGAGTATCCGTCAGCTCATAAAATTAGTTCGCCAGCTTTAAAACAGAATTTCCAGTCGGGTTGCAACTTTAGTAATTTTCTTCCGATGTATCACACGTATTCGGTTGCTATTCTTTGTTTGGATATTCAGATTTACCTCCGTTTGGCGATTCATCACGGCGGTCATTTAGGCTTAGACGACGGCAAGATCATCGATACCACTAAGATAGCCTAGACAATTGTTGTCATCAGTACTATTGGCAATGATAGGATGTGAAATATCCTTCTCACGATACGTGGCAGTTAGAAATACACCCTCTTCCTTCAGCCTGGCTTCTACTTCAACTTCCAGTTTAAGTAGCCAGCAGCATCCTTCAGCTTGGAACTGACGTCCTTCATTTTCTCAGATAGTCTCACGGTCTCGCAATATCTCGCTCATTGGTTCTTTCAGTCTCCATATGTCCTTTAGTCTTTTCGCTCACTGGCTATCAGTCGTCTACTTCTTCCACATGTATTTCATACTCTGTGAGAGTGAACTATATAAGTCATGACCAATTATTTAAACAAACTTTTCGCCGGATAAAAACAGCCTCCTCGGAACGGAATAAACTCACTAGTTAATAGAGATTTAACGAAGTGTCGGCTCTTCGACATATATAATTACAGCAACAATATTGAAAACACGCAAGTCTATTTTGTACAGCAAACTAATTGAACACCTATACATACATTTAACAACTCTTGAACAACAAACCAAATCAACTTGTTAACATAACCTGCATCTAATAGAGGACAGGCCGTTCAGCTTAGACTCAGGCCGAGTCCACGAATCCGATATCTTCATAGTCCAGCAATAGTTGATTTTTAACAA